TTAACGATGCCAATACATTACCAACTCGTGCGCGTCATATACTAGAACCCGACCAAGTAATAAATGATCCTAAGTTGCAACAAATGAGTTTCAAAAAAGTGGGATGTGAGAATATTATGTCTTTGTGATACATTGAAAAAAATTGTATATGAAAATTTGTCTATCATTTTAATAAAGACTTATTGAAACTAACAAACCATACATACAATCCTACGAATATAACTCATACCAATACATTTATATAAATTAGCAATACTTTTGAAAGCACGACAAAGGAAAAAAAAACCCTAACTATTGTTTTAGTTAAATACTGGATGATACGTTCCAGTTTTCAATGATTTTACTTATTAAAAATAAGTATTACCTCATTTTTAAAATATAAGTCCATTTTGAGTAGCACAAGAATTAATGGCAAATCAATAACAAATGAAATTTTTTTTTACTTTTAATGAATTTGACCAACCACTTAATTTAAGTAGTTCTATATTTATTAAGTAACACATCAGTAATTTGAGAAAATTTTAAGAAATTATGCATTAAAAAACAAAATGGACTTATAATTTGACATAAGCACAAATAAAAAAGTGGACTTATATTTTGAAAAGTAGACAATACATAAGGCAGTGTTTAAAACTTTGTCAAAAAGAGGGATTGTCATTACAATTTTCTTTAACATTTACTAACACTCCAGAAATAACAGAAACATAAATAAAAAATAAAATTAAAAAAATACATAAAAATAACTTCTAATTAGAATATTTCAACAATTTTTTTATCCAAATGATGATTAACCAATGGGATATGAGTATTTGAATTCTCGACTCAGAAGTTTCGGTTTGAACCGCCGATTTATGATTTTCTAAGTATTTGAACCGTAACCAGCCCTTAATTAGATGGTCTTGTTACGGTATTATAAACCGCCTTTCTCAGTTCAGGCCTGGTTCATTAATTAACAGGCTGGTTTTAATTCGGTTGTGGTTGAAACCTGAACCGCGGCCATGCCTAGTTACTGGTTCTTATCCTAATGGAATCTGATCGCGCAATGGAAGATGAAAATGGAAGATAAAACTAGTTTTCTGGCCACATAAATATTACATCCTCCGGACCGAAAATGATTATTGTATTAGTAGTGTTATTTTAGTAGATTACACAAAATAATCATTTTACAACATAACATATAAAGTTCTCACTCTGCCCAAAAACAATTAAATTTTGAGATTTGTACTAAACAAGAATTTTGAGATTTGTACTATGTTTAGTACAAATCTCAAAACTCAATATAGATTATTTTATATTTTTAGGACAGAGGGAGTATAATAAATCTAATCACCTTGTTGGTTGGTTATTGCGCGAGCTAGTTGGACAGTAAAACAATCATTTTACATCAAATTTCCTTTGAAATGAATTATCCTCACTTCATAAATACTTCTACGTCCCAAAATTATTGTTTAATTTTGATTTTTTTTACTTTTAATTCAAATTGTACTAAATTAAAAGTCTAAACTGGACAATAATTTTGGGACAGAGGGAGTAATCCACTTTAAAGACCAGGGAAATTTCATTGTTGCACCGATATATATATATATATATATATATATATATATATATATATATATATATATAGAATCACACACACTCACGCAAAGCTTCAGCAAAAAAAAGTGTATGAACAAACTTCTAACAATCTGTTTCCTCATAAATGTACATATATATATATATATTTCCTCATAAATGTACATATATATATATATATATATAGACACACACACACACACATACTAGACAGCGGTAGTTCGTACTAACCCGGTCAAGGATGAATCTATACAACTACTATTTTTGTGCAAAACAACGGACCCTTGTGATTCTCTAAAAATGAGAATTCAAGGTACAAAGTCTCAAAATTAAACAAATTCGACTTCATCTTCCATGGCTACAATTAAAATTTTTTTTTTTGGTAAATTTTTTTTGCTAAATATAATTAAATTATTTCCAGTTGCATTCAATTAGGTTTGGAGACCTCTGAAACCTCTGAATTGGAGTTGAACTTCGCTCCAATCATTTGAACCAACATTAGCAATAAGATGCTAAAAGAACTGCATGTAAACTTGTCATTTTATCTAACATCTTGGAGGTCGTTTAACTCCTATTGAGAACGGGGTTAAAGCAAATGATAAAATTTGCAAAGTATACTTACTCTGAATAGCGTCATTATTTGAATCATTTAGATAGGGCAAGATCCCGATTTAAAAAAAAATACAAATATTTCAGACTTGCATCATTAATTAGCTGGTTTAGAAACACCCCAACTATATTGTACTGGAAATTTCATTTCACCATTTTCACTTATAGAGTAAATGTTATGTTATCCAAATGATACAAATGATGCAAAACACCATAGCAGGCCCAAGGTTTGAAGTCAAACAAATACTGTGCCTTTTGAGAAATTCATTAATACCTAAAATCATACACTTAACATACATACAAGGTATATAGGTCCATCCCTAATAATTTGCAAAGTAATGCCAAAATGCCCGCTGGGAACAATGCTCCTAGTATGGTGGTGTCCGATCAAATTTAAATACAATAAGGTGAAAAGGGGAAAGAATGAGTGGAATACAAAACTTAAATACAATAAGGAGTGGAATCAAAATGGAGAAGAAGGGAGGAGGTGCGCCGGAAAGAAAAGAGCCAAATGAACCCAAAAGACTGTTTGATGATTATAATAAAGTCTTATTTTTGTCAGGTTTGAGGGGAGAGGAACAGTGAAACCAGCAACGAGAGATGGGACGATCGAATCAATGGGGGAGGAAAAAGACAAAAAAGACGCATGTCTAATACGTGAATGACACGTATCTATTATGACCCTCAACTTGCAGTTAACCGTGCCAAAAAGTGACATTCCCCCTTTATATATATATATATATATATATATATATATATATATATATATATATGAGGAAACAGGTTGTTAGAATTTTGCTCATTCACTTTTTTTTTTGCTGAAACTTTGCGCGTGTATGTGTTTATATATATATATATATATCCCTGCCTCTTTCTCTCTCTCATCTTCTTGTTGGCATTGATCTCCGGCATCACAATCTGTTCTTCCCTTTTTCATCCTAACTAAGAGTGGCACCATCAACCCATTATCCACTCGGATCGAAATTGAAATATTTGATACTGCAAGACTCTCTAGAAGGAGAGAAACATGTATAGTGTGAGATGTAATATTTCTCCCGTTGGGGAATTAGATATTGTTATTAGGTATATATGGACAATAAGATGAATTTTGTCCAAAAATCCATAGCTCGCTTGAGTTTCTTGCTAAAGTTGCATACCATTTGAAATCGTCAAGGTCTGAATTGTTTGTTAATTATTTGGTCAAGTCCTAATATTCTTTTGCTGACGGGCGGGAGAAAAATGGGTTGGGAATGGAGTTCGCCAACTGCATAGGTTGGGAAGTCATTGATATTTGGAAAGAGGAGATAGCTAGACGAATCAGCTGTCTTAGCTTCTGACTACTTCCCAAGGCGCACTTCTTATATGACAATAAGGAATTAAGCTGACCAAGAAGTTATATATTTGTAGGATCCCTCCAACAAGAGCTAGGGAATCTACGGTGATTGTAATTATATACTATTACGCTGCCTAAATGGTTAATTAGCATAGAGAAGCGAGGATTGTAATCATAAATATTGATATTGTAACGCCTAAAGTTATTATATTCGACGCATTACTAGCAGTAGTATATGATCGATCATGAATCATGACCTGAGAGAGTGACTCTTTTTTTAACCAATCCTCTTAATTGGTTTCTCAAATATGTATAAATAAAAAAAATTCCAAATTATATATGAATTCATGTGATAAATGGTAGTTTTTTGGTCACAGAAAAATAATTCACGTTAAATTTTTAGATTTATATTAGTTTTAATGCTAACTTTAAAATGCGGTAAGGTAGCACTTTACATTTTGAATTTTCTCTCTAGCACGGGTGCCTCCCAATCCGTCGCTCGTTCACTCCTCCGGCCGCCATGGTCGGTGAGCATCCTCGGGATGCCCCCACTGGGCTCCCCCGTATGTTTGCAAGCATTTTTAGGAAGCCTCCTAATGATAATTCCTCTCAGCCATCACTAATTAAGCCGATCTCCTTCATCAATGGCTTGCCGGTTTTAGAGTATGAAGACGACGGATATGAAAGATTAATAGCTCCTCATCAAATGAGTTTGGTTGAGAAATTTGCTTACGGAAGACCGAAGATGGAGGAAATTCACAATGAATTTAAGAAAATCGGATTTAATGGTGCCTACACCTTAGGGTTGATGAACCCTAGGCACATTTTAATCCGATTTGAACGTGAAGATGACTATCAGCTTTGTTGGATGCATACTTTCTAGAATGTCGCTGGATTCTCCATGAGAATTCTAAAGTGGAAGCCAGGATTCAAGTATGAGGAGGATGCTCCGATTATACCAATTTGGGTCTCACTTTGTGATCTCCCAATTGAGTTCTTGAATCCAGAGGTCATCTTTTCCATGGCAATGGCAATTGGCAAGCCTTTGAAAGTGATGCCCCCACTTTGAACATGACTCGGCCTTCGGTTGCTCGATTTTGTGTGGAGGTTGATTTGACAAAGGAGCTACCTAAATATGTTAAAATTGGTAAAAGGGGAAGGAAGCACGAGCAACTTTTTACTTATGAACACGTCTCCTTCTATTGTTCCAAATGTTTTAAGATTGGTCATCAAAATGAAGATTGTAAGAAGTGGCTGCCAATGAAAGATGCTATGAAGGGGAAACAACAATCGGATTCTCGGGGAAAGAAACAAAAGCAACCATCACAACCATAGAGGCTGTATCCTTGCGAGCTAGGGTTCCAGAGAAGAAATTGAATGATGACGTTGATAATCAGAAATTGGCTGCTACTGGGTCCGCTTCGGGATTGTCCGAGACAGAGAAATCTAAAATAGTTTTTGACATGAGTGGTTCCCCCACCAAGGAATGCTGAAATCATCAGGAGAAGTTGCAGCAAGAGGCACATGCCGAAACCTTAGTCGCGGGCTACGGAAACAAAAACCCTCGCTCCGCGACTTGCAAAGCTGGTTTGGTGACTGCTCAGCGACCATTCCTGAGCTGCAGGAGCAAGGTGAGATTGTGGATGTTTAGGGCTCTCATGCAGAGGTTTCAGGCCAACTGGAAGTGGTGCAAACAGAATCCATTACCCATGCAAAACCCCAGGTTGCGTGAACAGATAATCGATTTGCTTTGCTAGGTACGATTAACGAAGGTGACTGTGAAGGTCAAGAAGAGGATGATGATGCTCTGATTGAAGATGTTTACTTCGAGCAAGTAGTAACTAATGAGATGAGATGGGTGATGCTTTGCAGAAGCTGAATAGCAATGAACCTTTGCGTATTGGGCAGTCTGCGGACGATGGATTTGTTGGTATATCTTCTGATGTTTTAGATTCGGATTCGGGTGTTCATGGCTGTTGGTCAAAAGGAGAAAAAGATAATGCTTTGGTTCATGACTCTGATAAGGGTTTGTTTCATGAGGAAGTAACCATCTCGCACAAGAGAGGACCGAAATCTAAAGCTGAAAAAGCGGAGTTGTTGAAAGGGGTGATCCTGAGGCGATCACCTGGGCTACAGTAAATTGCTCTTTCTCTATATTATTTTTTCTATGTTAAATCAACTTATCTGGAATATTAGAGGAGTTAAAAATCAAGCGTCTCAACAACATTTGAAAACTTTGATAAAATTGCATAAGGTGTCAATCTTGTTTATTATGGAACCCATGCTATCTTGTGGACATATTGAAGTGTTCGAAGAGAGCTTGGTTTTGATGTTGCTTTTTGCTCTGCTAATGTTAAAATTTGGGTGTTCAGTAGACATGGTTTCATTCTTAATTTGTTGGAGGATTTGGAACAAGTCCTCCATTTTAAAGTTACTAATGCTTTGGTGAGTGAAATCTTCTACTTCTCAGCTGTATATGCTAAATCAGCAAAGGTGGAGCGTCGCACATTATGGCGGCATATGGCAACCTTTAGACAGCTTCATCCGTCAGCTCCTTGGTTGATTGGCGATGATTTTAATGTCATTCGTACGCTAGAAGAATATTCAGGGACTTTGGTTCAAGACTTGGTAGCTATATTGGAGTTCAATGAATGTCTTCAAGAATGTGACTTAGATGACATTCAGGCTATAGGCAAGGAGTTCACATGGGGCGGCACTCAGCAAACGGGGTGGGTTTGCAAGAAGCTAAATAGAGTCTTGATAACACCGGAATGGCAAGCTTTGTTCCTAGTTTCTTCACTTGAAAATCTTAATCGCACCACCTCGGATCATTGTCCTATGCTCCAGTTTGATGTGCAAGCATCTAGTAAACCAAAGGTGTTTCGATCTCAGAAAATGTGGTTTAGAAGACCGGAATTTCTTGCCATGGTTAAAGAGAATTGGGAGTTGCCTATGGAAGCCTATGGTATGCTAGGTTTTTCCCTCAAGCTGCGGAGGCTTAAAAATAAAGTAAAGGAGTGGAATAAAGAGACCTTCGGTGATGTTTTTGCCAACTTGAAGGAGGCTGAAAATAAAGTGCAAGAACTTGAAGGAGCCTTTGATACCTCGGGATCAATCCAAGAGAGAATTTGTTTACAAGCTGCCAAGGCTGAGTTGTTGCGAAGAATCAAGGAACATGATGATTTCTGGACTCAAAAAATAAAGATTAAATGGATAAAGGATGGGGACTCTAATACTTCTTTCTTTCATGCTTCATTAAAGGAAAGGAGGCTAAGACAAGGAATTTTTAAGATTCAATCTCAAAATGGTGAAACGTTGACTAATCCGGTGGACATTGAGCAAGAAGCTGTAGCCTCTTTTAAGTCTCTCTTGAATGACAATGACATTGATGCTCTTTGTGGTAAGAAGCAAGATATTTTTCTAAGTCACATTCCGCGGTTGCTGGATCATGATGATGCGAATAGCCTTTTGAGGCCGATTGAGCTTGAGGAGGTTAAGGAGGCAGTCTTTAACTTAAGCGAAGATAGTGCACCGGGTGTTGACGGTTTTGGGGGAACTTTTTATAAAGAATGCTGGAGTATTGTTGCTAATGATCTATGGAAGGCTTGTCAAGAGTTTATGCTTGGCATTCCTATCCCTAGGTCAATCTCGTGTACCTTGATAACTCTCATCCCGAAGAAGGATGCAGTTACCACTTTTGCTGCTTATAGGCCCATTAGCTTGTGTAACTTTTTGGATAAAGTTTTTACTAAATTCTTGACGGAGAGGGTCAAAGTTGTGCTGCCAAGAATCATATCGGAGGAGCAATCGGTCTTCTTGCATGAGAGAGACATAATGGAGAATGTGTTGCTAGCGTATGATCTTTGCCAATTCTTAGGCCGTAAAGCGGAAGGAGGAAATTTTGTTCTTAAGCTAGACATGATGAAAGCTTTTGACCGAGTAAGGTGGAGTTTCTTAGAGAAGGTGTTACTAAAATTTGGGTTTCCTGTGGCCTTTATCTCATTGATAATGAATAACTTGAAGAATGCTTGGTTTTTGGTTATTATTAATGACGGACCTGTTGGATTCTTCAAGTCTTCCCGAGGTATCAAACAAGGAGATCCGTTATCTCATTATCTCTTTATTCGTGTTTCAGAAGCAATGACGCGCAGATTGAAGGATTTGGTTGCCTATGGTACTCCGGTTGGTTCCTTGCTGGTTTCTCATCTTGCCTTCACGGATGATGTTATTATCTTTTCAAGGGGATTGCAAACATCATTGCGCGAGTTGAATGTTTTCCTCTCAGATTATGAAATAGCTTTGGGTCAAAAAGTAAGCCGTCCAAAAAGTTCTTTTATGGTTGCGGATAATTGTAGTGCAAGGAGAGTCGCAATTATCTAAAGGCATCTTGGTATTCAGAAAGGATCTTTTCCTTTTACATATCTTGGCTGCAAATTATATCTTGGTAGAAGGAAAGCGGCTACATATCAGTTACTACTGGATACTATTGATCGAAGACTGCTTGGATGGAAGAATAAATTGCTTAGTCAAGGTGGTTGTTTGGTGTTGATCAAGCATGTCTTATCCACTATTCCGGTGCATGTGTTTTCAGCTCTTCCTCCTCCAAAATCAATCCTTCAAGAAATTGAAAAGAGGTGTCAAAAGTTTCTTTGGAGTGCAATGGGTGAAGAACCAAGGCACCATTGGAGGTCGTGGGAGGGAATCACTTATCCAACTTCTGAAAAATGGTTTGGGAATACGGAATTTCAATAATTTTATTGAAGCTTTGACTGTCAAGTTATGGTGGAAGGTGAAGAATAGAGTTGGGATATGGAGTAATTTCATTCTTTTTCTATCCAATACATTAAAAAATAAAACTTCTTGGCGACGAATCTCGAAAGTGGAGCATAGGGCTATGGTGCATACGAAAGTTATTGTTCGTAAAGGGAATAGCTCTTTTTGGTTTGACAATTAGTCACCGCATGGCATCCTTTGGTATATACAAGGATTAAATCCTCCATTGCCGGACTTGAGCATAAGAGAGTTTTTCCTAAATAGGCAAGAGTTCCTTCCTCTTGTCCAACCGGTTCTGACGGATGAAGTACTACACTGTCTTGCGGATCATGAGCAAATATTCATGGAGGATGATGATCTTCTCATGTGGCAGCATACTTCTAAGGGGGAGCTAACGGTCAAGTCTGCCTATGAAACATTGAAGAGGCGCCGCGAAGAAGAGTGTTGGAGTAAAAATGTATGGAACCAAATAACACCTTTGCGCGTTTCAATCCTTTTGTGGAAGTTGTGTAATAAGTTACTCCCTTTTCCGGAGGTCTTGGCGCAAATGGGGATTAACTGCTATCCAACAATATGTTTTCTTTGTAAAAGGCATGATGATGGAATTACTCATTGCTTCTTTGGATGTGTTTTTTCCTTGAAGATATGGCAACATTTTTCAGCATTGATGCAGATTAATATCCAAGGAGCGACTTCGGCTTCTTCTTTGCTTGGTAGATGGTGGCGTAAGGGAGAATTCAAGTCAGCATATGGTGCATTGAGGAAGCTTATTCCTTCCATAATTATTTGGGAATTGTGGAAGGCAAGAAATAAAGCTTACTTTGAAGATGTTCGACCTACTTTCTCAGCCATAGTACATGTTATTAAGGATTAGGTACGTAGTTTGATAATGATCCATGATTTAAACATTCGGAATGAGGAAGAAAATAATTTTTTCTTACATGTCTTTCATTTAAACCTTGAGCGCGTTCCCCGGTCTAGGTTCTTGGAAGTTAAATGGCAGCCCCCTCTCATTGGTTCTTACATTCTTAATACAGATGGTTCATCTAGCTTTGGTGAAGCATGTTATGGTTTTGTACTTAGAGGAGAAGGTGGCTCTTTTGTTTATGGTGAGAGTAGATATCTTGGAGGTGGTGATAGCTTTATAGCTGAAATTTCTGGCATTCATTTTGGATTACGGAGCTGCGAACAAATGCACCTTTTAAATGTGGAGATCCAGACGGACAATCAAGTTTTGGCCGAGATCTTATCTAAGGGTTCGGGCTTTCCTTAGAAATATTATTTGTTCTTGTAGGAAATGTTGTCTATTATGCAGAGGAATGGGTTCCGAATTACTCATATATATAGAGAAGCTAATTCTGTTGCAGACTGGCTGGCTAAAGAAGCTGCTTCTGGAGCATCAACTATCTATTTCTCTTTAGATAGCTTACCAAGTTATGTAAAAAGATTATTGATTTTAGATCAATCATCCTTCTCTTATATTCGAAGTAGGAGCTTTTGATGTACTTATGGTTAGTCTATACGCTGTCTTTTCTCTATATCTGAAGTAATAAATTCCAGGATTCTGGAGACTAGGGAATTAGAATAGTACAATATTCATCTTATGGGTATACCTTCTTCGTGTGTTGTACTATTTTTCTCTCTAATTGTTCAGGAATTAGGGTATAAGATAGTACAATATTCATCTTAGAGGTATACCCTCTTCGTGTATTATGCTATTTTATTCTTTGGCTCTTCAGGATTCTGTCTTTTCGTTTAAAAAAAAAAACTTGGACAGAGAGTGTACATATTTATTCTTGTTGTTCAAACTGCTTTTGGTAATTTGGAGAATGTCGAAATTTATTTCCAAGCCATCCTTCTTCATTTTATGGTAGGAGACGGGCTACTAGGCAAGAGTAATTGATTAATTATTATTCAACACATTTCCTCCCGTTATGGACGTTTTTTAACATTTCTCACAAGGCACACAATACTTTTTGACCGACATAAACCCCTACACGACTTTAAACTTTACACATTAAAAATGCCACTCATTCCTTTTTCATTTTCCGAAATTGGAACGAAGTTCATAGTAGATGTCTAGTTGGGTGGTTGAGGCCCAGCAAGTACGATTCAAAAATGGTTGAGCAGTTCCAATGGACGAATTAATTATCAAGTTAAGGACCAGCTGTTATCTTTTTAACAAGTTAAGTTAGTGCAAAATTTATTGGCCATCCACTATTCCACTCCACCGGTCCACCGAAACTGATGAGAGTGACCATGTGCTCGAAGAATTGAAACCGCAATGAATCAATGATCGCGTTTAATTTTCAAACATGCATGTTCAAAATTAAGTTTTTTTTTCTTTTTTCTCTTTCTTTAAAGACGGCTGAAGAGTACTGTGCTATTATTGTGATTGGCGCGGATGTCTGCATATGAAAATGAGATATTTTTCGTATATCCTTGCTTTTTGGCATAATTTACTTGAATTGATTGATGTCCATGTACACAAAGCGGTATTTTTTAAAGCTTATATCAAAATAAAGTATGAAATCTTTCCTTAAAAAAAGTATAAAATCTATCGTTCATTATTCCTCTTACCTGTCAAAAATGTCTCAAAGGGAGTACATGTTAGAATGTCTTGGTATAGCGATCTAGAGAAGGGAAATTGGTCCTACTCTAGTTGGTAATACTGTATATATATTTATGGACCTTAATTTTAGAGGTCCAAAGATCTAACCTTATCATAGATGTGTACAGGATCTTGCCATATACTTTCTCCGGTCCTTAATATAAGACATTTTGATTTTATCTTAGGTTTCAACTAATATGCATTTTTGATTGATGAAAAAACCTTAAAAATATATTTTTACATTCGTTGTATTCTCTTCATTGTTAGAAAATATTGTTAAGGTTTTTTCGTCAGTTAAAAATATGTAATAGATGAAACTTAGAACAAATCAAAATGCCTTATATTAAGGACCGGAGGGAGTATCTAAAAATTGCACCGTGAAATTTCATAGCGAAGACAATGTCAATAAGTCATTTTTTGATTTTACTAATTATAATGTGAATTATTTTTGTGATACAGAGAGAGTAAAATGTAAAATAGAACTAATTATCACCTGTTTAGGTAAAAACAAGATGTTGGCGCTCATTATTATAAAAGAAAATAACATTAAATAGGGAGTTGGTTCCAACTATGATTCATTATTTTGTGATATTCGAGTTTGTTAAATTAATCTACCGCAATTAGGCTATCCAATCTTCTTGTTGGCTTTGCATAAGTACGTAGTTTTCCTCGCAGGTCATCAATTACTTAATCTGGTAAAATTTGGGAAGACTCGTGTAGAGGAGGAGCTGCTCCCCTTCACAATTTATTTATTTTTTTGCATTATTAGTAGATTTGTTAGTCAGTAAAAGTTATCTATTAATTAACGAAGAAGAGAAGATTTAGTGTAGTAGTTAGTTATATCATGGGAAAACTTCATTGACCCATACACCTCTTATGTTAGAACTCGAATAACTACTCTCGTTCATCCATGCTAAGATAAAGCAGCACATTTTGTGCCTTTCAATTTCAAACAGCCCGAATGCCCGATGCATAATGCATTACTCTGCAAAGCACAAATTCATCATATCTCCGCCCTCAAACTCTCCCCCAACCAAATCCCATCCACCACTTCTATACATGGTAAAATTCCCCAGCCAGCCTTTTTGACGATGCCTGGAATTGCACCTCCGGTTTGGCGGTGGAACTCCGGTTAGGGTTTCCTATAAAACAAAAGCTCGGGGCCTCCCAAGGGTAGATACTCTGAAACTTAAGTAAGAAAATAGGGTTATCAAATAGTCTGTATGTAAATTGGTGCAATAGATAGCGTACTTCAATTGTGGAGTAACCACCCTTATTTATAGGCCTTAGAAACATCCGAATATTACTAGATTTAGTAATATTAAGCCACTGACCTCATAGCCGGTTGGACTTTGGCCGAGGTGACTGGGCCGACCCATATCCAGGAGTGGATTTGGACTTCCCTTGTCAAGCATTGGTTATAAGAAATAAACAAATCTTGACACAAAATAATCCTAATCTGAACTCGTAGCAAGTTACTCGAACAAACCCTGGCCCATGAACCCTCTAACAGGCCTGATATTTTATTTCGCGGGTCAGGATTGACCCGAAAAATGACCCGATCTGGAATCCTGCCCTCATAGCCGGTTGGACTTTGGCCGAGGTGACTGGCCGACCCATATCCAGGAGTGGATTTGGACTCGTCAGTTTTCTAAGTCCTAACCATCCTCACAACAACAACACCCCTAGCTACTTATATAAATTTCTTCTTTTTATTTTTGGCTTGCTCTCGGCTGCTTAATTATTTGGATAAGCTAGGGTATTGATGAAGAGATTCGTAAAGAAGTTTTATTTTGTAAAGATAATGAGTTCCATGTATAATATGGATCTGATTGGGTGCAAAAGTCGAAGCTCCCTCGAGTTCCTTGCTAAACTTTATACGCTTGTCGACTTATTGTATGCCTCTTTTTCATACTCGACACCATCAGGTCAGAACTAGGAACTATTGACGGTATCTGTAGGTGTTCGATCAGTATCCATCGAGGAACGCCCAGTTGGTTTACCACGGTACCATGGAACCTATCCAGCAAAGTATGTTCATAGTCAGATTGTATTAATTAATTTGTTGTTATGATATTTTTGGCTAGAACATTACATTATTTTGAAAGATTCGTATGGTAAATTGATAAATAAATCTCTAGTTTGTTATATATGTCTACAAATTTAAATAGCCCTTTGGTGCCTTTCTTTTTTTTTTTTTTTTGAAATCCAGTGGTTGATTTTTTTTTGGTAAAATGTGAATTGTATTCCATTTGAACACTTTAACTGTACAAGATTGATCAATCTATTACAATGCCAATCCTTTCCAAAAATCGGACATCATTCCCACTACCATTTCTATACAAATGTATAGTCTTGCATTTTATTT